TATAGACTCCAAAGCAGTGGAAAACGAAGTTTTACTTAGCATTTTACTCAGAGAAGAATTAAAAATGTGGATTTAAAAAATAAAAAATGTAATTTCCTAGGGGTGCTTAATCATTTTAACCTTTCTATAGAGAAATTCTGAGCTGTTGCACAGTTGTAACAAATTAATCGGTATCAAGTTCATTAAAGTGTAACAATTTAATACTTAATAAAGCCTTTACTTGTTTCGGCTACTGTTGGTCATCATCAGAAAGCAAAACCAGCACTGCAAAGAAAGCATTATACATGATTTGAAAAACGCATGACGTTACAAAGGGATTTCTAAGGGATACAAATGCAAGTAAAGTAAGTCATATTAAAAATTATATGCAATATCACTGAAATTAATTAAAACATTTTGTTGTATGGCTACGTGTATGTGAATCCAATGACGGTCATATTATCTTAATTTTTGTGTATAAAATCTCTTGTGCGATTTTCCGTATATTGTTTTAAAGATTATGAATCATTAACGCCTACGAACACGAATTGTATTTCAGTCATGAACGTTGAAAATAATTTAAGTGTACACATTTTTTTTTAGGTAAATAAATTCATGTAATTATTTCTTCGATCAAATTCACATTGTGTTGAAATAATTTAAAGTAGCGGTAACATGAATAATTTTCACAAATTTTGAGGATTTCCACTTTTCATATACACGTATTACCATATTAAAGCCCTAGAATTGTCAATCTCGAACTATGCCTTTCTTTTACTAAAAAGAATGGAATCATAACTGGAAGGTTCTCATTCTTGAAATATTTCTTTTAAAAGTAACACAGCCTAGAATTTTGCAGAATCTTTTAGGTTCTTGAAATTTCATACCTAATCTATAACCTAACCTATGTTTTTTTCACAAGTAGTAGCTGACTCATGGTTTCAGAGACAAAATCTCATTCCACTTTACGGTGTTTTCTTAACATGCCCCATTTTCCGGCTTGTGTGTTAGCTCTTTCTTCCTTTGTTCAGCGACATTCAAAGTCTCGGAATTTGGAACTAACCATATGCTAGTGTACTAATGTCCTTGCTTTCAGTGTTAGTAGTTACAAACTGTAATTTAGGAACAAATTCTAGACATGTCTGATAGAACAGAACTCTAACCTTGATGCGAATTCTACTTCATTTTGCAAAAGTCTTGCCGATTGAATTATGGACGTTAGAGGTCCAAGTTTTGCAAATATTGCTTTAGATGAAAAGTCAAGTGGGGAACCATAGTACAGCTTACACAACTTTGCAATATTCCTCTTTCTCTGCTTATGCCATAAATTTAAAACATATTGACTTCAACAGCTGTTGGGAATAGCCTTGGCTTTAAGATATGGGATAAAGTAGAGTGCCTAGTGTTGAGAGAAAACTTTCCCTGTCGTAATTCAAACTTCCCATCTTCATACACTCTTTCATAGAATTCCAATTATGAAATGAATTTCGAAACTGAGTGCGCTACCCGGGCTATTCTACACGACGATGTGTCATATTTACATTTTATAAAATATTTGTTTCGTTATGTTATTTATTGTATCTGGAATCACTGACAATTTGTTAAAATGCGGGAATTATTGCATTTAAAGATATAATGTTTTCCCTTTGAAGCTGGTATATAGAGATTGTAATGAAATCAATATTACTACTGAAGAAAATTAATGTTCAAATACCCACTTTCATATCCATTGCAACTAGAGGATACAATTAGTGCTACATTAAACAGGAGACGGTTAATTAACTGTAAAACACGAATAGTAACCTAATGGCTGAGAAATTTCATCCTCTGGGAATATGGGAGTCTCAGGCATTATCAGTCAGAATGTCGGGGCTGTTACCCGAATTTGTTTTATAAAGAGGTAAAATTACGTACACAGATTAAGCATTTTTAAAATCCGTGTCTGAATTTAAATTTACTTTAATTCTGAATCTTAAAGTGGTTTGGATACCTTCGTAAAGCAAATTTCAAAACCAGACTGGAGCTGGAAACCTAATTATATAAACATACAACTTAGTAGATGTTTTCGCAGATTTAGTTGCATTCATTCCTAGATAGTTCCTAAATGCAAAATTTTGTTTTATTATCTCTTCTCACATAACTTAGTAAATTCCTAATATAACTTAATGAATTCATATATCTTTTTGTTCAAGAAGTTCTTACTCAGTTCACTATTTTGTTATAAATGTTTGGTTTATGTTTTAATTGAGGTTTTGTTCAGAAATGCTTAGAAATAATGCACAGATATTAACCATCTCCACTGAGCGGAGGCCCTCTTCAGAAGAGGCAGTGGCCGTCACCCAGCTAATCTAGACAGCCCCCTCTTCATGAACCAAAAGGTTCATGTACACAAGAACCTGCCATTAGAGAGTGTCCTGAGCCACATTATTTTAGTTCATATCTTCATACCCTGGTCCTTTGGAATCAAGTTAAATAGCGTCATCCCCTCTACACCGCGTCCTATCAAACCGTCTCTTCTTTCAGGATTGCCTACAAAAAGTCTTATGTATTTCTGATCTATCTTATGTTTAATTCATGTACAATCGGCATCCACTTTCTATTGAACTTGTCATTATGGAATTGCCTTCATTCACCTGCTTAAGTCTTGATGTTCTCCTCTGCTTCCTGTTCTCAGGTACCTCGTAGTTTAAAAATATTGAGCAGCTGATTACAAACGAGAATTCAGAATTCTGATAATATGAAAATACAGTTAAAATTGTGTAGAAAATGTCAAACAATTTTTAATTCTATTCGCACCAAGACTTTATTTATCGTTCATGGATTTTAAATCCATTTCTTGCCTTTCAAAAAATTGTATTGACGTATAATAAATTTTAAATACATATGAATACATAGTAAGGTACTCATTCGCCCGATATTTTAAGGATATGTATCTTTATGATGGTCTTGTAAGAGAGAAACCTGTCGGTGTAAGACACAGACTACTTAGGCAATGAACGAGATATGCTTGGACGGTAAATTGCATTTGATTTTATATAGGAAGAATATAGGAAAATAAAACCTAGAAAAATTTACTGTAATTGAAATTCTTTCTTCCGCGTTCTTACGTGACACCTCGTTTACAGTAAACATTGGCCGTTTTTGATCTCTTAACAATAAGCAGAGAAATCAGTGTAAGAGTCTGGAAACCAGTTCGCTACACAAACCACCTTGAACTCTCATGCATATTAATGTTCTGTCCATAACTCACGTGACCCAGCACAATTTCCAGTGTTTAACTTGAGTCCAACCCACGATTTAGACGTCAGGTTTTTAGACAGAAATTTTTTTATATTTTTCTACTACAACCGGACCGTGTTACCTCTTATCTTAACAGTTAATCACTGAGCTCAATTTTAGAAGCACTTAATCCTTCGTAATAATACCAATATAAATTTGAGGATAGGAGTTGCTAATTTGCGTGTCTGTGCAATTATGCGCCAGTACACAAAATATACGTGACACTGATACATGCGTACACATCATGTTCGCAATTTAATGGGCAACTACTTCCAAGGCAATTCAGCCTGCTGCATTTGTTTCCTGCGGCCTTGATTTGTAAAGGTACATGAATTCTTTGAACCTTTGGGACAGGTCTTAGTAAAATATTACTTGCGTATATTTGGAAAAAAGTGTTTATAATAAACAATTTAGAATTTAAAGAAAGTCATCGCCGTGAAAACCTCAAAACTTACATAATTTAGAATTTGGTTACTAAATTGTGTTTCACTGAAGACATGACTGCACACTCTGTTACACGATACTTGAAATTATTTTAGCAGAGTTCATAATATATTTTGCTGAATCCTGAACTTGGGAGACCCTGGTATCATTGACCACTGTCTTTCTCTGAACAAAATACACAATAAACCACTTGTCAGAATGATGTTTGGCTAATAGCCGGCAGAATAAATCTAGCATCACATTCTTTCACTTTTCTTACAGACCAAATAAATAATACATTTTCTTAGTTTTTGTTAAAATCATTGAAGTAGTGATTTTTTGCATTCCCATGTAATAAGAACTTATAAACTCAAAATATTTGTTTTGAAATAGGATGCAGTACTCCCAAACTGCATACTCATTCAGGATCGCCTGTTTGTTGTTCCTTAGGTCCTATACATCTACACTGTACATGTGTCTGTAATTTGTTACCGTTCGTTTGATCATCTGAGGCCAAATCCATAGGCGAAAGCACCATTTGATGGATTCCATCAGACTTTGCTCATTTTGGGTGTACTAAAACACAAAATTTATTACGAAAATTCTAATTGCGAAATAGAATAATATTTGTGCAGCCATTTTGTATTTTTATTAACTACCATAATCTCCCAGATCTTTATAGGCCTACCTGCCTTTCAATCATTGAATTATTAATTAATTAAATAGTAAATATTGTCGTGTGCAGAGGCATTCGGAATAACTAAAATGAACCAAGACTGTAAACTTAGATTACACTTGAAAATTCTGCGTATTTCTAGTTTCAAGATGTTTACGCTTGTTTTTCCTAGCTACCTAGAGTTCTGTGTAATGTTAAATACTAAAAGACAGCAATACATCACCTTGGGGCATAAACTTAATATACAGAATTCCAATTCTCAACTTCTTTACAACATTAAATCATCGTGCAATTCCTCCAGTTGTTATAATCATGGTTGTTAATTAATCAATTAATTATCAGGAAGCCAGATTCACCAGATAATTCCAGCACTTAGCACGATTGCTCAAAATAAGTTACAAAATACTTAATTTCGAAAATATAAATATTCCTCTACATATAGCCCTTCAAGTAAATAAATAAAAGTTACAGTGTTTAAGGTTGGGCTGGACACTATTTATTGCCTTGTCAGTTAGGTTAATAGTTAGAAAAACATGTAAATGATTTGGGACCTTAAAAGAGTCCCTTAGTCAGATAAATCTAATAACTAGAAGCAGGAGAGAGCACGATAATCCTCACGGACTCCGTGGGTTAGTTTACTCACCGACTGTACATTCTGTAATTCGCCGGAGCAAAAAGCACGGGTCGCAGCAGTCGGAGATAATGAGTCCATTCCCGGAGCAGGCACTCTGATCTGAGTAGACCTTCTATAGCCCTCTCTCTCTCGTTCTCCTTCTCTTTCTGACACTGTAGAAGACGAACCCGACCATGGTGGAACTGCAATAACACAAGAGAAATGGGATTGAGAGGGATTTCTGTACCCGGCCAATGGAACTTCCGCTAAGCAAGCAACTTCTTTCTTTCTGCTCATCCTTTGTCACTTAACCGCTCCTGGCGGGGGAGAGCCCTTGTTTCAAATTTTCGTAAATGGCCTTTACCTGCTGCTGAGAGCCCTGTCCAATAACCTTGATTCTGTGGAGGAAGCATCACATTAACATTCGGTTCCGGTAAACTGGATGTACAGACGGATAGTTGTCTCTGCTGTTTCCCGGAACGCTGTTAACATGAGGGAGAGCTCAGTGTCCGAGCGTGGAATATACTAGTAGGTGCGTATTATTTGGAAAGTATAGGAAAGACAAATTATTGCCATATTTGTTGTAAGTTATGAGGTGTGACAGACGGACAGGCCCAAGAAATGGTGATAAAAAAGAGATTTTTAATACAACGCACTGGCGAGAATAAGAGAGAAGAAATATGAGTAAAAAAAGAGGGGAAGTACGTTAGTTGGAACATGGAGAACGTTACATAATCAGGAGCTTCCTGATTCGTTTTTCAGTAGTTCTTATTAAGATAGTCTTATCACGGAAGATGAAATGGGTGGGGAAAGTTGCTCGTGAAGGGAAACAGAGACATGCATACAAATATTTAGAAGGAAATACTATAGGGAGCCACTGCACATTGTGATGAGTGAGATGATAGTAATATTAGATGTGAAGGGGTGGACTGGATTCAACTGGCACGAGATATGTTCCAGTGGCCGACGTTTCTCTACATGGTGGTGAACTTTTTGTTTTATGAAACATATGAATTGAGAAGGCAGTTCAATTGTCCAATGTTCAGCTGTGTTAACCAGCTCACACCGGAAGCTGAAGAAGTGACCGACCCGTAAATCAGAACCGAGTCAGTAACGGCAGAAGAGAAAACAATCCTAGTCCAGCAAGGAAACGAGTGGGTCCTAAGCAGTCATTGATTGTGACCTGTTATAATTGACTGCATTTGTGAAGAAGTGCCAATAAATCCAATCATCCAATCCAAAACCTGTAATTTTTGGTCATGAACCACTGACACGTGTCAATATTATATTATTACGAGTATTAAAATAATTATTGTCGATTTACTTTAATTTGATTTTAGATTCTCGGTGTGATGACTATGACAGGTACGTTCCTCTGAATCGTCTGTAAACATATGCCAGACTACACGGCGTTACATCGTCCTAGAAAAATAATATTCTGGATTTACTTCTCATGTTCTTCTGGTAGAATCTGTCGCATTTGTCTACAGGATTAAAAGAAAACTGGTCCCATAGATATACGAGGCACTTCCACAAATCTTTTTAATATTGTTACTTCATATACGCCAGCAGCGCCTCATTAGGAGCCTACATTGTAATAAATTGCTTATAAACATACGCGTAATTATCACGTGTCTCGTAATAAACGCAAGTGCGCACACCTGCAAAGTACAAGCAGTTCAAGTGTGAGAGAAAGTGACTGACTGCTGGGCATCTAGTATTGCAAACTACATTATTTATATTCGTATAATTAAGATAGCAAATTTAATGACAAGCATGCTGCTATGACAGGATACCATAAATTATCCCAGAAACGCTGTACATGTAACACGTTTCCGCTCCCATATACCTTACAGATTACGACTGCGGTGAGACTGTGTAGGAGAGTCATTGAGATCTTATCCAGTGCGGTTTTATACTCAGAAGAAGGTGTCTGTAATAGGCCTGGTGGAACTCAATAGTTCAGAATCACTTGAAATGATGAGTTCTATCTTCTGGGGTGCAACGAGGTGTAGTCCGTTGATATCAACCGACGTTTGGGAGAAACATACTTTTGTTCGTTACCTGTTTCATGCTGCATTCTTCTTGACTAATTCTTTGACGTTGAAGGTGGAGGCGATATGTTTCTCCGAAACGTCCGTTGGCTTTCAATGGAATACGGGGCACCATACCCCGAAAAATAGAAATCTTTCAAATCCCATATATTTGAAATCACATACGTAAAATACATTTAATTTTAATGTATGTTTTCACCCAGCTTCCTGTATCTTATAAGCAAACCCATTCCTTTTTATCATACCTTTTATCCGTATCACTGTCTGCCGTTTCCTAGCAACTTTTTGGCCAGTTAATGAATTTACATAAAAACTGGTATGGATTGTGTACTACTGAAACCTTTCCATATATGTGGCTTTTAATACCTTACCATTAACAATATTAATATGTGGAAATATTCGAGTTGGAATCGAAACCAGCTTTGTTAAATCTTAGAAAAATATAAAACGTTCATACGTATTTCCATAGCGTGTAACAGTCAGCTTGGTGACAGTGCGAATTTCAGTGATGGCTAGCTAGTGAATTATTACTGCTAACCACAAAAGATTATGTATCATAACAGATTATAAACATTCCACAATCTCTATATTAAGCTTTTGTTTTATATTTTAAAATTCACAAATATTGCCACCATACAAACCCAATCTTGTTGTATTTTCATAGAGTTTGGGTTTTTTAGATTGCGTTGTTTGTTAAAACGGTTAGATATTTATAATATTAGAGACCACTCATGTAATTCTCAGCCTTTCCATGTCTAATACAGCTTTTGCAGTTGGCTGTACTTTGGTTGCATTATTGATTATCCTGCCCGTACTGCTGGTGGGGCCAGAGCCGCCTCCAGAGCTCATAGCTGGAAGAGGGGCTCGGCAGGTGCACAGCGGCAAGTATCGTGCCCCTATATCAATGCCGTTCTCTCTGTTAACTCCTCTGATGAACATGCGATTGGTATCGGCTTCGTAGTGAGCTTACTCAGGTAGAGCTAGTAACCACGAGGCCCACCACAAGCGTGTCTAGGAGACGTAGATGTAGTGATTCGTAATAATGGTACAATAGTAATGACGGCTCTGATTATCATGGCGGTAACAATGAAATGGATATTTCTCCTTTATGAGAGGAAGCTTAGAGTAGTTGTGGCGATCAGGAATTTTTTGTATACAACCCGAAGGTTCATTATTGTCCTATTCTCTTACGAGTCTGGATTCTATCCTAAACTACATTAATCCACTCTTTTTTAAATCCATACTAATGTTATCTTTCCACAATACGCCTACTTTTGACTGTATTTAAAGAAATTTGAACTGCTGGAATTAGGTTCATATTTTGCACATTTTCAGAAAACGAAATAAATTGGACCCATCTTTTAGAATTTTTAAACAAAGGAATACAATCTTCGCATAGAATTTCTTTCTTGATTTATGAGGAAGGAAGAGAATATTTTGTTTGTGTGTTTCGTTGTTCCGAATACCTTGATGAATATTTCAGATAACACTTTGATCTAACCACCATTCATATTCTCTGAACTGTCGCATTTATTGAAAGTAATAATCATTTGCACCCTCTCAGTTCGGAATCGTAACCCTTGGGTGCAGTTTCATGAATTTGTGAACCTCAACCTCTATTCCTCGCGCAACTGAAATAAGAAAAGCCTGCAAGGGGAACCCTCAAGTTAATTTCAACCTGGGTATAGCCCAGAAGAGAGATGGGGTCTCATATGGAATATTGGCAAAGTTTTCCCCGTAACAGCAGATGTAGGCCTATAGAGGAACACATCAACCCAGCATTACTTCTTGTACATCTGTTACACGTTTCTGCGATTTGGAGAACAAACTTTTCTCGTTTCTCCTTCTTCTTCCTCTTCTTTTTCTTCCTTGACATCTATTCCATCTTCTTATATGTCCCTCCCAATTCCCAAACGCGTCTCCTGGCACATTCTCCAACTGAAGACAATTTCCTCTAGTTTCCAGGCCCAATTTTCAAAATCTTTTCCGCCAATCTCCTCTTCTTCCAAGCCTCTCCGCGGTTTATATTGAGTCGCTGTGTACAAACTGCCCATGTCTCTTGTCTTTACACTGATTTTTTTTTTTGTATCTCGATTTCTGAAAAAAAATTGGCATAATAATACATCAGAAAATATTTTCCTTCCCATTTACCTGTAGTTCATGGGCAATGGACTTCAGCTGAAATGCAATGTCGCTTTCCATTTTAGTTTTTTTTAAGTAATTAGAATTATTGCGAAAAATGAACAATTGTCCTTCTCATATCCTTAAACGTCAGGGCGGAATATATGCGAATCTCGCTATTTTCGCGTTAAATCTGCCGAGAAATACGTATAAGATGGATTTCCTAACGATAATAGTCGAATCACACCGTTCGAATTAGTACAGAATTTTGTGGGGAAAAAAATGGTACTTGAAAGAGCCAAAACATGGCGATGCGGCGACGCTCCCAAAGAGTTGACGAACATGTACGTTAACCCTGCGCCATAGCCCAAGCGGTTAGTCGCTGGCTTCCCACTGCGGCAGTCAGGGTTCGAGCTCGGGTCTAGTCAATTGGGATTTGTGGGGGACAAAGTGGCGCTGGGGCTGGTGTTCTCCGAGTATTTCGGTGTCCCCTACCAATTTTCATTCCACCAAATTCTCCATCATCATAATCACCCGGGGCAGGTACAATAGGCCAAACAGTGGCCGACGTGCCGAGTGGACCCAACTGGACTCCAACCTCCACTAAGAGAATAAAAAATGTTTGTTTCCTAAAATATTTAGTGCTTCTTCTTCCTTATGGAAAACGAGTGGAATTGAGGGCTCATAAGGTGCACCTTACTTTCAGTGGGTACATGAACTTGTCTGCACTGCTTCTATGATTCATATGATTTCCGAGCTCGGATATTCATGCACACCACTTGAGAACATTGTCTCAATCAAGCGTTTCCTTTTCTCGTGATAATACTTTAAAAAATTAACGACGTTAATGCGTTAGAAATCAAAGAGTCAGGACTCGTATTCCGAAGTTTTTAAGTTCTACTTTCGGCAGGGACGTCAATCCTGA